CCAGCAAATATATAGACTTCTGTCATTAATTATGTAAATTAGATCGTAATTTGCAAAATATTCAGCAAATTAGGTCAAGCATCACTTAAGCTACCGAGATACCAAAAATAACAACAATCCGTCAACCGGTTCTTGAGCTATCCTACTTCAAACATTTTCAAACAAATGCCACTGCATTTCCCAAACAAGCTGCTACGGGGCCCAAACTTACGGCACTTCTTTCTGAGCACGAGAACTACCTACCATCTAAAAATCATGACCATAGCACGTCCATATCACGAGATTTAAAAACCAGAAGTTTCGCTGCAGTACTTTCTAATTCAATGACGTGGGGACCCCCCACGAAGCCCATATCCGAACTTGACCTTGGTATTGTCAATGGTAACTTGCCAACTAAAAAACATGAACATCCATTTAAAGATTCTCGAGTTATCTTGATGACAAGAAAAAACACAAAAAACAAAGGTCAACTGCAGTGACATAGAAACCCCCACGGGGCCCATCTTCGAACTTGACCTCGGCATTCTCAACGGTAACTTGCCCACTAAAAATAATGAACATACATTTAAGGATTCTCGAGATATCTTGATGACAAGGAAAAACACCAAAAACCAAGGTCAACTTCAGTGACTTAGGAACCCCCCACGAAGCCCATTTTTAGCCTTGACAATGGCCACCCCCAAATCAACCTGCCTGCCAAAAATCGTGAACCTCGGACCTTGCCTTCAAGAGTTATCGTGCCTAATCTGCCAAACAGTGCAAACCCGATTTCATAACCTTCTCCGAAGGCATAGCCTTCAGTCGAAGGCAAAAAGTGATCCGATTGGCTCTAAAATCACTGCAGTCTCCGCCCACCACGTGACAGTACCACACATTTTCACTTACGACGACTAGACCTACACCCAGATTTAGACCTAACCTCAACACGGAACGGACAGACTGTCCGGACGTCCGAAAATGAGGAACTGGTCTGTCGCGATGTCGGTGTTGATTTATTTCATAAGTTTCAAAAAGATACTCATTACCTTTGCATAAGACACACTTTAAAAGTGTTCTAATAATGGATGGAAAGGTAGCGATTGTCGGTATTGGTTGTCGCTACCCCGGCGGGGTGAACACACCGGGGGACTTCTGGTCCATGTTGGCGGAGGGAAGGGACTGCACGATCCCGCCCCCAGACGACAAGTACGACAGATCGTTCCTCTGGCATCCCAGCAGAACGCAGGGCAAACTTTACAACCGATGCGGTGGCTACCTACAGGGCAACGTGTTCGAATTCGACCGGCAGTTCTTCAAAATGCCTCCAGGTTAGACTAAGCTTTATGCCTTGTGTTGTGTTATGAAAATTGTACAATTTTTGACGGGACTCTGACTCAGGACATTTTGAAATATTGTTGACAGTAGCATTTTTCATTTCTCTATTTTTATGGATTACCTCTACATGGTAAATCATGTATTGCGAAGTGTTAAAAAAAGTATTTTTCATCTATTATACCCCGTAACAACTCACCAGCAACTACATTGTACGTATAAATACTTGCATAATGTTAACAATTGAAACGTCGCCACCAACTCCCTGTCTGGATCACACTAACAGTGCTTTCTATATTCTGGGTAAAGCCCCTGTCACATATTCAGGACCATCCCCAGACATTGCCCCCGAACACTGGCAAGATTTAGACCATGCCTACCTTTCCACATGGATGTAAACGAATTTCAATGAAATTTGGGTCAATTTTAACCCCATAACACGCCCCGAACTAGCCTCCTGTGCAGGCTCCGGGGCGGGTGGGAATTTTGATACAGCGTTTGGAAGAGTTTTTAACGCGTTCTTTTAATAGCCGACTATCCTACACCGTGGGTGGAATGGAACCTTCTCTCGGCGGCTGGTTGTAGGATAGTCGGCTATTAAAAGAACTCGTTAAAAGCTCTTCAAAATGCTGTATCAAAAATCCCACCCGACCCGGAGCCTGCACAGGAGGCTAGCCCCGAATATTACCCACCCCGAATGTTTTTAGTATTTTGAACGATAACCGAATAGGAATAGTAGCCAACCTCGCCGACTACCTGACCCATCCGATCATGCTTTGACCAACTCCTAGCCAGGGTTGATTAGTGGTTGTGGGGCGTTCGGCTAGTGTTAGGGAGGGTGGACGGCAACCTATTTTTTTTTCGTTGGAGAGCTGTATCAGGAAAAAGCTGGGAGCCAGATTAGCCAAAAGCAGCACGCCCGCATAATTAGATTACCGCTACGGGGGAGTTGAGCCCTTTCTCTGATCTTCCCCGGAAGGAAGGGCTCCTCATTGTTCGCCAAAAGTCTACGCAGGAGGCTAGTTTCAAACATGATTAACAATGTCTGACCCACCCATAGAATCAGATCTACTCTCGCACAATGTAATTTGCTTCTTCCAAAGAGTACATGAGTCTACACGAAAGCTTGCAACACGTTAGCCGTTGAAATGTCGTCATCATCTCCGTGTGGATTACATGTAACGCTATACCTACATGTACACGCGACAACTTGTTATGTTCTGGGTGAAGGATCTGCCTTCATGCCTTCCTGTTAAGGGGAAGCTTTGTCGTTTCCCGAAGCGCAGTTTTTCTCCGAAAAGTAACTCGAAACGCCTGGCACAGGGAGTTCATTGTGGCACTTAACGTCGACTTTTATCCATGACTGAGTTTGTATCAATAAGGCCACACCAAGTAAATTTTATGGATGACGTCCTCGCGCGCATTGATTTTGGCCTGTTCCTAGAAAAACCCCAAGAAATTCCGCTTCCTATAACTATGACCAAAGAGTCACGACAGTGCCGCAAATTGTTAGATTGACGTGAAACCCGTAACGCGAAATGGGTAAAGAGCACATGCTTTGTTTCTGCAGGCCTGCAAAAATGTGAAAGAAACAGGACAGGACGATAACTGCTGTTCCACCTGATTTATTGCTGTTTTGATGATGAATAAAAGACTTCTTGCTTGTTAATCTGTGTCACCTCATTCAATTTGTGTCCTAACATTTGTCGTCTCTTAGTATATTTCTAATCTAGGCATCTTGTTTTTTAGGGCCCTTCTTGTTTTTTTTTCGCCCTCTCGCATTAGATATAGGGTCTCCAAAGGACGTCATCCATAAAATTTACTTGGTGTGGCCTAATCAGCTTTTATTATTTTTCTCCGAAAGATCCACCCATGTAACACTCTCGCTTTGCTTTGTGTTATTTCACTGTGTGCATGTTTTGTACTCCGTTGAAATGTCGCCTGGTTATCAGTCTATCGTGTTTGGGGCGGGCTCTCTTCGGGGCTCTAATGCTTTTTCCCCCGCCCAGCTCAACCGGCCGCCCGCCTGTAAGAGCTTTGCTAATGCCGCCGTCACATTAATATTGCGCGAAAATCGATCGGTACGACGAGTCTGCGAGCTGTAAACGACATCTACAGCAGTAGTTTCATCGAGAATCGCGCGAATTTACGGGATTGCCGGCGATTGTTCGGAGTCGGCCGATTGTTCGGAGTCAGCTCGCCGTTACGCAAAAACCTGTTCTTGACATCAGCGACTAGTCGCCGGCCATTTTTGAGGTCGCAGAGCTCGTTGCCAGCTCGCCCGCAGTTCGCCTGTAGCTCGCCCACGTACGGACTACATTCGGTCGCTATTCGGACGTCAATTCGACGATTTTCAACTGTTCTTCGCTCTCAAAAATCGGACGATGGTCGCTAAAAATCCCTAAATACGGCCGCCCCTCGCTTCGCACAGTACTTCCGTATCTCGCCCGACTTGTGCAAAGTTGATAAAGTCATGTGTGCTTGAGCGAGCTTCGTGCCTGCGTCGGGAGAAGGTTCTACGAGCCTCGGTCGAGCTTCGGTCAACTCATTAATTTGACACCTGTGTTAAATATGTGCCTTTTTTTGCCAGTCTTTTCAGTCTTTACGCTTATTGACAGCCCAGCTTGAAGCTGCGGGTGTCGATGCGAAAATATCTCCCACTTTTTACTTCACCGCCCACTACTCAGAACTCAACGTCTATGTCTTTTCGGCAAGTTTACTAGGGTGATTAGGACTCTATTTAGACATTAATTCTCACTCCGCTTTAATACACCTTTTACTATACGGGTCCTCCTGCTTTTCGTTAAAAATTAATTGTAAAATTATGTGTCTTACCCAAGATTTCATTACTAACCGTTTCATACCCTCCTGATTGACAACACTTGGCACATTGCACTTGAGTCCTTGAAATGTCACGGAAACGGGTTGTGGGACAACGCATTTAGTTACTGTATATCTAATTTGTTCCCAACATGCCTGCTTGGTATTGTTTGTGTACATTTCTGTGTTATCTTGATGAAGTATAATATCTTTGTTAATTATTTTATGTTCGATGTGTTGTATTTTCTTTTATATATATGCATTAATAAATAAATAAATAAAAAATGTGACATTGATTGCATTGGCAACGCCCCCGATATTTAACGTTATGTTTACAAGAAAGGATCAGAATAGATGAGATCGTGCTTTTTGTACTTTTGTTAAATTAACAACATTAAATATAACAAACTAGCTTTTATACTTGTTCACTCTGGAATTAAGTTGACTTAATTGTATCATAGGGTGCCCACAGAAACATCACATGGTAGAGATATTACATTCTAGTTGAAGTTTATAGTGCATTGCTCTTTTTACGCCTGTCTACCTAGTTGACATGGAATGGCTATAACTTGTGTTTGCCGGAAGATTCATACTATTTAGACAGAAGTTGCAAAAGTATATCTTATTAGCTTTGTACAGGTACACGTGTATAAAAAAGATACAGAGGTAAACATTTACCTATAGTTTTCCAACCGATAAAACTCACGCGCATGGCATATGGGAGCATTAAATCGAGTCAGTGTGGGCTAAAAGACACTTTTTCGGTTTGTTGTATGATTTTCGGACAACTCACATTTTCTGAAACAGGTGGTTGATGTGTTAACCAGAAGGCAGTGTCAATTTGTGGCTCTTGTGGTAGTATTTGAGTTGGGTCTGTCACAGAATTCCTGTTTGTATTTCTATTCTATTCTGCCAGTCCGCTCCATTACTTTGCTAAAACATTACGACAGCTGGTAAACATGAAAATTAGTAAACGAGATTCAGATTCAGATTTTATTGAATATCGACTGGCATGTCACATCAGTGTATGAAATATGTCGAATATTTACAACTTGTACTAAATTATTACAATAGATAGCATAAAATGTCACATGCATCTGCATAATTAGCGATAAAATACATCATAAAAAACTTATCACATCAATGAGTACAGATAGACATTCTAAAATCAGTATTACTAAAGATGAATAACATCATAAAACCGCTATATATGTATACAAAGATCAGGTTTTAGACAGTAGCTTCAACGCACGGGGTACAAAAGACTGTTCATGTCTTTTGGTTTTACTAAATGTTGAGACAGTGACAGGTTTACCTCTACGCAGGTTGTAATTACTACTAAGTACATTGTGTCGGAGAGGATACAAATTCAAGCAGAGGACTATCAGCATCCTTCAGGATGTTCTGAATTGTGCGAAGAGTGATCTGATCTCGCCTTGTGGAAAAAGAAGGCAAAGATTCAACTGGGATGCCAATGATCTTACAGCATCTCTTCTGCACACTTTCAAGCATACCTAATTTCAACCATTCCCATTTTACGTAGATAGACTGTCCTTACCTGGTCCGCGTGCGAATGTCATTGTGACTTCATTATCATAGATGTTTTCCCAAGCCAATAGCCTCGCTCAAGCTCAATATGACGGGGACGATTTTCAAGCCAAAAATACGCACGATCCTCGGTCTGTCTCAAAATCGGGCGACCTTTCGGCGATCAAGAAATACGGCCGAAGCTCGTCAACAATGTGACGCAGGCATATATAATAGAGTTTTATTCGCCATGGCTTGATTAGGTCTTACAAAAGCAACAGGAATCCTTAGCTTAGTAGCTGAGTCGGACGGCGAAGATCTCCTGTAGTCCCGAAGTGAACTCGTCCTCACCACGATAGACCGGGCACCTAGTTGAAATCCGCGATTTTTTATAATTTATCGTGATACACGACTGTATTCCAGAATTGTTCAACACTGTCTAGTTAAACACATCTTACTTCATTGTAGTGAAATATTAGGGACTAATATTCTAACGGAGATACAGGAATGTGCACGCGCTGATGAAAACATCAGGGAAACTGTTTGTAACATCCGGTCTACGATATTCAGAACAAATGTACAATGGAACAAAAGTACAATGATAAGCTACATGTTTCATACAATTAAAGAATGTTAGCTAATTCACTAG